TCTTCTCTTCCTGTATTTTCGCCACAGGATTATAAACTAACGTGAGTTTGTTTTCCCGCAAAAACTCGCGGCCTATGATAACGTCGCTTTGAAATGATTCGTTTTCCAAAACATACAAATTTGCCCTAAATTCTTTTCTTTTTAGAGATTCAAAATTTAACGCTATATTAGTTATGCCAATAACATCTAATTTTTGATCTGACAAATTTCTTAAATTACATTTAGTGGCAATTACCGATTTCGCGTCTGATCTAACGAATTTATTAAATACGCTCGCTTTTATGAAAGATACAGGGCTGCCTGTATCTATCAACGCTAATAATTCTATTTTAATCTCAGGTAGACTCACTCGGATTAGGGGATCGTCTACCACTAACTCTGTGGATGTTTCCTGGACAGCTGCTATCCCTGTGGACTCCTGGGTCTCCTCTGACACGGTCGCCGCCGCCAACGTCGCACCGGTAGGTTTAGGGGCCGCCCTGGGTTCCTTCCTCCTCAGGATCGGACAATCAAATCTGCGGTGGCCCTTTTCCTTGCAGTAAAAGCAGCTTGGCTCTCCTCTGCACTCCTTGTATGTGTGACCCTTTTTCCCACAGTTCTTGCAGGTATCCTTGGCCTGCTTATCCTTGACCTGCGGATGCAACTGCAACGTCCTGCGGTCTGCCTCTGCCGTGCCCTGAGCGATGGTCCTCATCTTTTCGAGGAAGACGTCCATCGTGTCGGCCGTGAGGGACAACGCCGTCGCCTTCAGCGGAGTCTGCTGGATTCCGCCAATCAGAAGCTGGATCCGGTCACTCTCGGGTAGGTCCAATCTATGCATCATCGCCAGCTTGTCGATGGCATAGTCGTCGAAGGACTCCTTCTCCGGAAACCACTTCCTTGATTCTAACTTCTGCATAGATCTATAAAAGGGTACCTTTCTATCAAATATTTTCAAAATTTCAGCCCGTAGGCTCCTCCAAGACTCTACTGCTACGTCACCCTGAGTGTCAAACCATCGACGCGCCGATTTGGACAGCCGACTGGATGCTGCCAACAGGGTTGCGCCGTCTGTCGCTCCGTGCACCTGGGCGACTTTGTCCACCCGACGGACCCATGCCTGAACGTTGTCGTCGTCAGCCCTGGCAAACTCAGGTATCTGGTGGGCCAACGCTTGCACTACTGACCCTGAAGACCAGGACTCCGTCGATCGCCGCTCCGACTCGCCCGCCGGTGATGATCGCACCGAACTCCGATTGCTTTCGGTAAGCTGCTCCGAATGCGGTTGCCTCGTTGCTACACTTCTCTGGTCCATCAACAATTGCATTATCTGCGACAGTTGCTGTTGCTGCTGCTGCATCGCCGCTAGCATCTGCTGCAACGCAATCGTCGAGGGATCCCCAGCACCTGTCACTGACGTCTTTCGCCCTTGGGACAGTTCTGGAATCCCTACTGCCTGTTGTCCGGTCGCGACGGATGGAGCACTGGCTTTTGGAGCGGACCCCAACAACTGACTGCCTGCCGCTAATTGACGCAACTCCAGTGCCGGGCCGTGTTTCTCTAGGTGAGACATGATCCGATCAATCACGTCACTCCACGAACCCGTAGTTGCCAGTCCAAATCTCGCCGCTTCTGCTTTCAGCTGCTCAAGGTTGAGTTTCTCCAGGCCGTCTCTCTCCATCGTTAAACAAGCACGTGTTCTCACCATGCACGTATGTTACCGAACAAAGAAGTTCCTTGAATAAAGGTCGTTCTTGTTTTCTTCTAAAGAATGTCTCTTTTTTTTCGTTTTCTTTACTCCGATTTTTTTTTTTTTTTGCCGATTTTTGCTTACTTCTATTCTCGGTTTTCTTAATAATTCTAATTAACCGTTCACTACTGTTCACTAATTTCAAGTAGGAATACTAGGCCGGTTCTAACCCGGGTCCTCTGAGGGGGGTGCGGGGCGGGGGGGTTTTCGGGGGCGAGGGGGTATGACGTCACGCGGGCGGGGGGGGTCTTATCAGCAGATAAGCTTATCTATGTTTATAAACAAAAGATAAACAATATCTATTACAAAGGGTTGCCGACAATCGGGGGGGGGGGATTGCGTTTCTTCTCTTCATACGTTTATGTTTATAAACAAAAGATAAACAATATCTATTACAAAAGGGCTGCCGACAATCGGGGGGGGGGGTTGCGTTTCTTCTTCTCATACGTTTATGTTTATAAACAAAAGATAAACAATATCTATTACAAAAGGGCTGCCGACAATCGGGGGGGGGGGGGGGGTTGCGTTTCTTCTCCTCATACGTTATCTGTATATTTCTAAGAAATATAATCAAATTTTAAGAAGGGCCACAGTTTGGCATGCGCCGACAATCAAGGGGGTTGCGTTTCTTCCCCCATACGTTATCTGTATATTTCTAAGAAATATAATTAAATTCTAAGAAGGGCCGCTTGGATCCGAGCGCCGACAATCAGTTCTCTGAAAATCTAAGATAATCATATTTTAAGAAGGGCCACCGCTTGGCATACGCCGACAATCAAGGGGGTTGATACATGATCTATACGTATATTTCTAAGAAATACCAGCACCGATAACCAGCGGCTGCAGGAATTTATAAACAAAACAAGCGCCGAAAATTTACGTCATCTAAATTTTTCTCGTTCGTACGTTGACGAACAAAGGGTTGATTGGGATATATAACGAGGACCGATGCCGCTGCCGGGCCATAGTACCACTGGCGAGCGCACGCTTTCCTCAAGGAAAAATAGCTGTGAGAAAAAAGTTTAGTGTGCAATTGAAGTAGTTATTTCTGTGCAGTACAAGTGAATTTTTACAAAAATGGAGAACGCGGTAAAAGATCATTCGAGGTGTTTTGAGAATGTTGAGAGATGGTATAGACATCTCGATGAATGCTATTATGATGAAAAAAAAGATGACCCGTTTCATTTTAAACGTGAAGCGGTGACTTCGGTTGTGCAATTCGTAAGAAATCGCGAACTTGGTGTGCAAAAACCGCATACAAGAGATGTTGCCGATTTCCTAGAAATTCACGAAGACATTTTAAGAGTGACTGGTGGGTTATCCAAATGCACCAGATCGTCTAAACGACACAAGCGAGTCGCATGTTATCAGCGTCGCTACAAAAATTGCGCAGAATATTTTACTGTGGACAACCTTTATTTTGCCGACATGGATATGCCTTCACCATCGGTATCATGCAAAACACAATCATCTGATTATGATTCGGACCAAGAAATAGAGGAGTCAGATAGGAGAGAACCGTCATTATCATCATCATCGCCAGATTTCTTGTCGGCAGCCTATTTATCTTTTCTGTGATTAAATAGGTGTACAATATATGCGAAGAGTATAGCAGTGTTTATGAGATAAGTTTTATCACGCGTGAAAGAGAGGATTGTAGTAAATGTGTCAAGACATATTTTCACGAGGTGTAAACAAAACAATAATCAACTGCTGCAGCGGCTGCTCTTTTATGACCGATCATCTTTCTTTCTGAGATAAGTTCGATCGCATGTGAAGCACAAAGGGCTGAACGAGATATATATTGAGGACCTATGCGCTCTCAAAAATCATTCAGTCCAGGATTTGACAGCACCCTGACCAGTCCGTGAAAAAAGTCTAGTGGCTATACTTATTTACGGAAGTGCGGAAAAAATTCATTGACTTGTATCATAATTGTGCAAACGCGTGTTGAAAAAAAAATGGAAAAAGACATTGCGATCAACGTTTCTGATGACGAGATGGAGGTCATCACGATCTCCGACAGCGACAGCGAGAGCGACGCCGAGATGTACGACCCTGTGTACGACAGAGAGGTGAATATCATCTTAGATGATATAGAAAAAATGGAGGGTGATGTCATACCCATTGTTGAGCAAGAAGAAGCAGAAGAAGAGGAGGAAGAAGATTTGCATGACGATGGGTACGAAAGCGAAAACGCTGTTCGGGAGTCGTGCCACTCGCGTACGTTAGATGTACGAGCAGTTGCATCCCTCGACGAAGAAACATGGGTATGCGTTATAACAGCATACGTCTCACCAGGAGGGTCAGTGAAAATCTGCATTCCCTGTTTCATGAGAAACAGGGAAAGATTCGCAGCAACTACACTAACTCACAGGCACGTGACGATGCGGTACAGGGATGTACCGCATCTTTATTGCATCGATTGTTTAGAAAGAGTGTTCGTACTCTTCCTGGCCAACTTGTGCCCAATCTGTCAAGGCTGTAAGTATATATATATATTAAAATACCAAAAAAATCTATAAAATAGTATAATAATTTATTATATTTCTATGTGCAGATGCCGAGGCACAGTCTGACAGCGATGGTTAACGCGACCCCCTCTCTCGCAGTCGCAGCAGGCCCGCTGGCTCTCTCTCGCCGCTACCTCGAGCCGCCGGCTCTCTCTCGCCGCAGGCCCGAGCCGAATTTCTCTCGCCTCCGACGGCCCTTTTTTATATATATATTTTATATAATTTTATATAGTTTTATATATTATTTATATGTTTATTTTATATAATTTTGATTTCATATATCTTTTTTATATTTGTATCTTTTTATAATTTTATAAATTTTATATTATAAATAATTACACACACACACACACACAAATTTTGTAAATTTACACATATTTTATAGATTAAAAAAATATTATTATCAAATGAGTGTATTTATTTTAGATTAAAATGTCCTCCTTACCTCTTGTTCCCTTTTAAATATTAGGAAAATATAAAGAAATTATTAAAAATTATCTTTAAAAGCTCTCTCTCCTTCGCGTCTCTCTCGCATCTTATTTCGCCGTCTCTCTCAAAACTCGTATGTCTCTTTTTCTCTCTCTCGCGCTGTCTCTCTCTCGCGCTGTCGCCGCTGCGGCTCGTTTTCTCTCTCGCATATGCATGGAAGAGCGCGCGCCTCTCCACGTGTCTCTCGCATGGATGCGACCCGCCGGCTCTCTCGAACGTGAGATGTAAACATTCGACACTTGGAATGTTTTTGAAATAGATATAGTTCTTTGTGAAGATTTTTTAAGTGGGGTACAGCCTGTGGAGAGCAGGGCTGTCTCTGCAATCATAAAGTTTCGAACGGTCCTCAACGAAGTGTCGGGACATTGCAACGAAAATGGTAGTGCTTTTTAAGTGCAAAAATATTAATTAATAGTGGAGGAAAAAATATATTAATATTAATATTTTTTTTGTAGTTTGCCCTCTGTATTATTTGTTGTTGTTGGGTGATCAAGGACCTCGTTTATGATATATTAAGGGATGCAGAATGGGAAAATTATTCAGATGACGACTTTGAAGAATGGATAGGGGATGACGAATGGGACGGTAAGAATAAAATTTATAATATTGTATTATATTTTTAAATGAATAATGTTATGTTTACATTTCAATAATGGTTCCAGATATGTGTGATTGGGATTGGGACCCATATATAAGAGACGATGACGGCGATTTCTATGATTGGGGTCTGGTGTGGCTGTTCGAGCCGGAACCTGTACCTGTGTATGAAAATTGGGACGGTAAGAATAAAATTTATAATATTGTATTATATATTTAAATTAATAATTGTTATATTTTTAAATTAATAATTGTTATGTTTACAGATGAACCATACGTTCCAATAATGGTTCCAGAGATGTTGGATTGGGACGCATATTTAAGAGGCGACGACAAGACCTGCTCGATTGGGGTCTGGTGCAGCTTTTCACTCTACCAGACCCGTACGATGTTAGGCCTCAGCCTACACCGCCGCCACGCCGTCGCCGTCACCGCCGCCGTCACCGCCGCAATCACCGCCGCAATCACCGCCGCCGTCACCGTCGCCACCCCAATCGTCCATAATGTAAACTATTTTATTTTTTTATTTTTCATTTATATCCTTATTTTTATATATTTTATATTTTATATTTTTCTATTTTCTATTTTTATATTTTTTAATTTTTTATTTTTATATTTTTTCATTTTTAATTTTACACACACACACACACAAATGTAAATGTACACATATTTTATAGATTAAAAAAAATATTATTATCAAATGAGTGTATTTATTTTAGATTAAAATGTCTTCCTTACCTCTTGTTCCCTTTTAAATTATAAGTAAATATAAAGAAATTATTAAAAATTATTTTAAAAGCTCTCTCTTTTTCTCTCTCTCCTTCACATTTCTCTCGCGTCTTATTTCGACATCACTCTCACGCTGTGTCTCTTTCAAAACTCGTATGTCTCTTTTTCTCTCTCTCGCGTACGTCTCTCGCTGCAGCCCGTCTTCTTTCTCTCTCTCTCGCGTACGTCTCTCGCTGCAGCCCGTCTTCTTTCTCTCTCTCGCGTCTTATTTTGCCGTCTCTCTCAAAACTCGTATGTCTCTTTTTCTCTCTCTCTCCTTCACATTTCTCTCGCGTCTTATTTTGACGTCTCTCTCAAAACTCGTATGTCTCTTTTTCTCTCTCGCGTACGTCTCTCGCTGCAGCCCGTCTTCTTTCTCTCTCTCTCGCGTCTTAATTCGCCGTCTCTCTCTCGCCGCGAGCCGCCGAATCTCTCTCTCTCGCCGCCACATCCGATTTCTCTCTCGCGCGCTGTCTCTTTCTTTTCTAGTGGTTGCTCTCTCGCAAAGTATGTAACGGGTGGCGCGCAAATAAAGTACACCATGATATACATATAAGTATTTATTTGTCTTATATTTAATACATAATTATATATAAAGTTTTATTACATATTAAAAACTAAAGCCACCAGCTCGCAATCGACAAGTTGGTGCATGTCGAAGGCGTTGCTAGCGCGTATCGCATTCGGCAATTCTCTCGCATTCGTTACAGTGGATGCAATATTGGAGAATTGCGTATGTTTGATATCAACCGTTGCGATGAGCCTCGTCAATCGATCGAACATTATTTCGATGCATGAATCGAGCTCGAACATACGACGTAACGTCGATTCGACCATCATCATGCGCACGTCCGCCGATTCGAGACTTATGAGCTTGGTGTCGTTTATCTTGTGAAAACGTACTGTTAGCGGCCCGACACTTATGAAGTTATACACATCGTTGTTGGGAGAGTCATTGTTCAAATAATTTTGAATAGCGTGGCGTTGCTCGTAGAGTCCTTTCCACGTTTCGAGAAATAGTATTAGCTGTTTTCCCCGATGATCTCCTATGGCGATCTCCACGTAACTCGGCGGATCCACTCTGATGCCGATTTCGAGGAATTTGAATTCCGTGGTCGTCAATGCGTATCGTCTTCCAAGTATACGAACCGCACGAGACTCCAGCGAAACGCTGTAAAAATTAGATAAAAAAGATAACTCATAAAAAAATATAAAAATAGAAAAAATATAAAATATATAAAATAGAAAAAGTTATACTTACTCGTCGCATTTCTTCTCGCACGTTTCATCGCGTCTCGGCATGTAGTAATTCATGCTGCTGCTTTTTTGGTGCAGAATATTTTTCTCGAGGGTATTAAAAAGTGAACCACCAGTCAGAACAGTCGACGAAAGACTGATCGTATAAAAGTACTAATAATCGAGTAACGATCATTTTTAAAATATTAGGAGAAGGGGATTCTTAGAAATATATATCTGGAGAAGGAATAAAGGGAAATATTTAAAAGTAGTGGGGATAAAATTAAATATTAGGAAAAAGGAATTCTTAGAAATATATATCTGGAGGGGAACAAAGAAAATATTTAAAATATTAGGAGAAGGGGTAAAACAAATTCTTAGAAATATATATATCTGGTGAGGGAGAGAAATAACAAAGAAAATAGTATGTAAACAATATGTTTATTCAAAAAACGGATGATCGTCGGATCCAAGCCTGGATTTTGCGGCCGACCACCAATTAAATAATTTAAATACATTTTGTAACGCGCAATTTTTTACATGTTTATTACACCGTAGAGTATATGTGGGATCTAACTTATTTAATGCAGGTACATCTTCATATATGGCATCCAAGGTCTCAATGGTGAAACCGCTGCTCGCATCGTCCATTATTTCGGCCAGCCATTCTCGCTTTTCGAGTCCTTTTACATACACGAGAGAGGACTCTTCATCGTCTTCTTGCTCATTTATGCCAACGATAGCTGCCGTAATCAAGCGCTGAGCCATGCCGTATGGAACATTTCCATCCTCCCATTGTAAGCTGTGATGATGTTGAGTTAGCCACGAGGCCTGACGCCTTTCCGACTTTATAAGCACGCTCCATGGCACAGGGCATGCGAAGAAATAGTGCGACAGGATATATCCTCTTCTCAGGATTGCCGCTTCCTTTACGATAAATCGTTTGTTTAGTATAAATCCTTGCAGATCGACAAACGTTGGTGCGGACATGATCTCTTCGATGCGAGTCAGTCGAGAGGTATTACTTCACTAACATCAAACATCTCACATCATCTTGATTATGTATCCTCCTCCTCTCCCTCTTTCACACGCGTATTTGTGTAAACATTTTTTAGGTGATTTTGCGCACAACGTTGGTCAACGGGTTGTACTGGATCACACGATCGTGTATAATGAGGCAGTACGCAGTGGTATTATTAGGCACGTTTTCCTTACACTCAAATTCCAATCTCACATCCACCGTTGCGCTCTTGATTGATTCGTTTTGTCGAAAACAATCGATAATCACAAACGGACCGTTTTGTAAAAACCGTGTGATGGTGAGATTGGGCTCGAGGTATTCGTATCCGTAATAGTTCTTGCAGAAACGTGTGTAGGTGTCGTACAGAATTGACCATCTGTTTTTATCAAAATCCAGATTCATATCGTCGTACGGATAACTTTCCGAGTTCAGAAAGAGTTTCACGTTGGTTAATTTACAGTCGTCGAATCGACTCGTATCCTCGGACATGACATTTTTACGCCCTGTCTGCAGAGCAAAAATTACATATCGCGGCTTCTCCAGTTGAGTCGCGGTCTTAATGGCCCACGAATGCTTGGTCGTACGCTGCAATAGCGGAAATTCGTATAGATCCCACGAGCGGAAACCCATGCTGAGGTAACGTCCGCTTTCCAGAGCGCGCAGCATCGACAGCTTCTTAATCTCGCTCAACAACACGTGTGGCATTCGCCATTGTATCTTGAATATGTTGATCACAGGCTCCAGTGCAGAATCTCCATACAGGCAATTATTGTCGTTGCGCGATCGTATTAAGATCAACTCATGACGCGCATTAATCACTACTCGTTTGTAGTCATCACAAAATCCCAGCAACATGTAGAGCGGTACGCAGAAATTGAAGTGCCCACTCGCAGAAATCGGATCACTCCAGCCAGCGTTACTCATAACCATGCTTCTATCGAATGATATCGTTACATAGTTTTTGAGCAAACTTGTTATTCCTACATTTCTGTTGCGATCAATCTCCACACCATCGAGCTCATAGCGAATTTCGTCAAACATGAATGCGACACAATTATTTCCCAGTGTCACATTGGATCCCTCAATTGGATGGTTTATCTTTAGTTCTCCCTCGATATATAAGAAACTCTCATACGGCAATGTATATAAATCCTGTTGTTGTATGGGTATTCTTATCTCGTCGCTGTATCCAAATGTTGTGTTGGCAAACGGGTTGTATGTGTGAGTCTCAATCTTGACGATGCGATCGTCAAAGACTGGCTCTTCCTCGATGTTGAGAATCTCAGTCATTGTTCAGATGGTGCGCACCGCAAATCCCAAAGATTGTAAAAACGCAACGTTTGACGAGGTGAGTCTCTTCTTCGTAGTTGATTTGATATTAGCGGTGCTCTATGGCTCCCGGTGAGAGGGCCCCACACGTCACGTCTCCGTCCTTGAGAGGGGCCCAGGCGCCCCGGACGGGAGGGCAATGCACGCCCGCCAGGGACACGTGGCCCCCCTCATTCTTGACCCCCCGGTTGCGACCACCCTCCGCCCCGTTAGGGGTCAGAGTTCACCCGCAACCGGCGGGGCCCCTTCTTCCCGGAGGGTGTGGGGGGGGGGAAGCGCCTAGGCGCTTTCATGTCCCCCCGGACACCCTCATCCGGCGTCGACTGTCGACGCCGGCACGTGGCGGGCCCCCGACCCCCAACGCCGCAGACGGCCGCACTTGTAGGCACAACCGCCAGCGACGGAGGGGAGCGGGACGGCACGCCCCCTCCTTTTGACCCCGCCGGAGGTGCCGTCAGGCACCCCGGACCCCCGAGTCGGTGCCTGGCCGGCCGTCGGAAGTCCACGCAAAGCGGACACCTAAGGCCGGACAGGCACCCCACCGCCTTGTGGCCAGGTGAGCCGCAGCGGTAGCAGCGGCTACCCCTGTTCACCATCGAGATGCACCGGCGCCATGTGTGCCCAACACACAGGCACCGGTAGCACCTCGGCGCCCCCATGACGTTGGCGACAGTCGCCTCGCCGCCAACTTTGCCCCCTCCCCTCTTACTGCCTCCTAAGGCAGTCTCCCCCTCCCACCGGCTCCTTCTCCTTTCTCCCCCTCCCCTCTTTCTCCCTAACTTTTGCCCATGTCCCCTTTGTCCCCATTTTCCCCTTGTCCGTCATCGTCTCGTCCGTCCCCGTCCCCGTCTCTGTCTCCGTGTCCGTTCCCGTGCCGACCTCCATCCGGCACTCCCCCCGGGAACCCCCCGGGCCTTTCTCCTCTCCCGACCGGCCTCCATCCTAGCGAGGCGCCTCTCAATCAACTCCAGCCGGTCCGAGCCGGCAGCCAGTCTCGAGGACATGTCCTCGTGCCTGGTCGCCAGCTCCCCCGGCAAAGGAGTCTCCCCGACAGGCGCCTCGCTCATCTCCTCTGTCTGGGTTCCCTGGTCTTGGAGCTCCCTTCCGCAACCAGGGACCATTGCAGCGCACCTTGCCGCCTCCTCCCCGTACCGCACGCACTCACGACGCGTGAACTCGGAGGCGATCCACGCGAGCTCCTGCGCCCAGAACATTGCGGACTTGGCGTAGGCATTCGCCCATTCCATCGCCGAGTCCGTGTCCTCCTTCTGCAGGTCCTTACGGACAGACCCGATAAAGTCCTCCGTCTTTTCCTGCAGGCCCTCCCATCCCTGGACGGCCCTATGAAACAGCTCCGCAGTGGACATATTGGCGCCCGCCTCATTCCACCACGGAGCCACCTCCTCCGCATAGTCGAGGCCCGGCAGCATAGGCGCCGGACTCTCGACCTCAGGAACCTGCGACTCCGTCTCCATCGGAGTCGCAGGCCCCCCTTCTCCTACTCCACGCCCGTCGTGTGATGACAACGAGGTGGGGGCCGGGACTATACCCCCCTCCCCGCCGGGTCCTGACATATCCGAGGCTGCCTGAACCTGTACGTCCTTTTTCCTCGGTTTCCTTCCCATAATATGTTTTGTTTCAGGGTGAACTCCCCTAGGGCGGTGGGCCTAGGCCCTTTTGGCAGCCGCCCACTGCCATAGGTGTACCTCCACCGAAGGTACCGACCACTCTTAGCACCCTTCGCAAGGCTAATCCCTTGCGAAGGGTGAGCCCCCCCACCACAGCAAGGTGGTGGTCGACGGGGGGGTAGCCACGAGGCCTGACGCCTTTCCGACTTTATAAGCACGCTCCATGGCACAGGGCATGCGAAGAAATAGTGCGACAGGATATATCCTCTTCTCAGGATTGCCGCTTCCTTTACGATAAATCGTTTATTCAGGATAAATCCTTGCAGATCGACAAACGTTGGTGCAGACATGATCTCTTCGATGTGAGTCAGTCGAGAGGTATTACTTCACTAACATCAGACATCTCACATCATCTTGATTATGTATCCTCCTCCCCCTCTTTCACACGCGTATTTGTGTAAACATTTTTAGGTGATTTTGCGCACAACATTGGTCAACGGGTTGTACTGGATCACGCGATCGTGCATGATGAGGCAGTACGCAGTGGTATTATTAGGTATATTCTCCTTACACTCAAATTCCAATCTCACATCCACCGTTGCGCTCTTGACCGATTCGTTTTGTCGAGAACAATCGATAATCACAAACGGACCGTTTTGTAAAAACCGTGTGATGGTGAGGCTCGGCTCGAGATACTCGTATCCGTAATAATTTTTGCAGAAACGCGCATACGTGTCATACAGAATCGACCATCTGTTTCTATCGAAATCCAGATTCATATCGTCGTACGGATAACATTCCGAGTTTAGATAGAGTTTCACGTTGGTTAATTTACAATTGTCGAATCGACTCGTATCCTCGGACATGACATTTTTACGCCCCGTCTGCAGAACAAAAATTACATATCGCGGCTTCTCCAGTTGAGTCGCGGTCGTAATGGCCCACGAATGCTTGGTCGTACGCTGCAATAGCGGAAATTCGTATAGATCCCACGAGCGGAAACCCATGCTGAGGTAAGGTCCGCTTTCCAGAGCGCGCAGCATCGACAGTTTCTTAATCTCGCTCAACAACACGTGTGGCATTCGCCATTGTATCTTGAATATGTTGATCACAGGCTCCAGTGCAGAATCTCCATACAGACAATTATTGTCGTTGCGCGCTCGTATTAGGATCAACTCATGATGCGCATTAATAACAACGCGTTTGTAATCCTCGCAAAATCCCAGCAACATGTGCAGCGGCACACAAAAATTAAAGTATCCATTCACAGTAGTCGGGCTATCCCAGCCTGCATTTCGCATAATCACGCTTCTATCGGATGACATTGTTACATAGTTTTTGAGCAAACTTGTTATTCCCACATTCCTGTTGCGATCAATCTCCACACCATCGAGCTCATAGCGAATTTCGTCAAACATGAATGCGACGCAATTATTTCCCAGCATCACATTGGATCCCTCAACTGGATGAGTTATCCGCAGTTCACCCTCGATGTAGAGGAAACTCTCATACGGCAATGTATATAAATCCTGTTGTTGTATGGGTATTCTTATCTCGTCGCTGTATCCAAATGTTGTGTTGGCAAACGGGTTGTATGTGTGAGTCTCAATCTTGACGATGCGATCGTCAAAGACTGGCTCTTCCTCGATGTTGAGAATCTCAGTCATTGTTCAGATGGCGCGCACCGCAAATCCCAAAGATTGTAAAAACGCAACGTTTGACGAGGTGAGTCTCTTCTTCGTAGTTGATTTGATATTAGCGAATGATGTTGCTGCTGGTCTGATTGCGTTCTTCGTGTCTTTATTCAACACGAGCATCCCGTCGCACGAGGGTGGCCCGCCGTCGTACGTGCAATCTAATTGTTATCTCTTTACCCGCGAAAATCGAGCAATCGTTCCTCCTGGTCAGTAACGCGTACACTAAATCAGTAATGCTCCGTACGAAGACCGGCAGGTAAATGATCTGCGCCGGCGTTTCCGATATCTTATATCCTGTGTGGTACCCTCGGTGAAAATTCGTGTATCGTGTGAACGAATTTATCGTTGCTGTATGCACCCGCGGTCACGTTACACTCTATGCGGATAATGTTCACGTTGATAATATTAATCGCCATGTTCGATTTGTGCCATTTTCGCGGTTGCAGTATACGATTCGAGAATCCCAGCAGCGATCCAATGTTGTTGGGCATGCTAAAGTTTATTCTGTAGGCACACTTGATCTCGCTTCTCATCGTATTGTAATTAGCGCGGAGCACGATTGGATAATCTTCATCGTCGACACCTTTATCGCTAACAGCATTATGTTTTCGGGAAAGTGCACGTTTCAAAAATTCATGTATCGCTGCAGCTCGTACGATCCTCGGGAATCGTAATTTCGCGTCGTCTGTGCCGTAGTAAAATTTATTATTCGAGGAATTCACATCGATATAGTGTGATAAGTTTCAAAATCCGTCAGACCGAGCTCGTAGTCCGCGTCGCTCAAATCTATGGCGGAAAGTAGGTCGCCGCGAGGACGCTACTCTTCCCAGTCAATGTTAGTGTTAGCGACATGTTGACAAAACTGAGTTAAATAACGCAATGTCAGTCTTTAAATTTTGCGGCGAGAAATCTCGGAGAAACTGCAAGCACAACTGTTCGCAGATACTCTGATCATACGTTTGATAAGAGTGTAATTGTATTCCAATTTCGGCACATTTAAATATCGCACCAATTCCTCGGGTGGTCGAAGATTGCCAAAACTGTCGAAATAATTGCGCGATTTCCTCTTTTTGCATACGCCACCCAATGAGTGCCAGGACCGTCTGTACTGTCTAGATTAACGATACCACTCTCATTTTCTCGCGCGCCATTTATCGGTAAATATTGCGCATAAATACACCTCTAAAGTATGGAATGTGCATACGTTTTGCAAGTTGTAGCAATTGCACATTTGTAGTTACACCTTTCGGCATTTTAACGTTTTTTTGACGTTTTTTTTTTTCTTCGCTCCTCGTCCATATTTGTAAGGGGCGAGATACAGTCCGCGGCCTCCATGGCGCGATTGTGGCGTAGTATCTCTTGCAACTGACGTTGCGCGGCTTTTCTGTCGTTTACCGCTTTTGCTACGCCAGCCGCTCCGCCAACCAGGGATCCGAGCGCGCCCAGCATTGGTAAAATCGGCAAAAATCCACCTCGTTTCGCCGCCGAAAGTACCTCCTCTCCTTCGTCCTCTTTTTCGTTTCAAGCCCATGCCGAGCTTCGTCTTGGCCTTCATCGCTGTCCAGACAACTGCGGCCGCGGCTCTCTCACCGAGACTCGAGTCTTTCGCGACGATGCGAGTTTCACTTTCTCGGCCAGTACCTTATCCGCCGCGTGTCTCTCGGTGAGTTTCTGCTCCGAGAGTACGCTATATCGTGTTCACGGCACGCCGCGTCCAATGGTTGACACCTTGATCACCTCTAGCCAATCGCTTTTCCAAACGAGTTCCCGGGCCGCAAAATTGATAGCCGGGAATATGAAGCTCGACCGGAAGTGCGTTTATCGCACGATTTAATAGATCTGTGCCTATTTTCGTTGACATCCGTTGCAATCTCTAGACATTACTGAGCAAAGCGCGAGTCCGCGCAGCTATAAATAGAGGACGTTGGAGGTCAAATCGGGAGTGAGAAAAAATGAAATTTGTGCAACAACCTCTGACGATACGAGTGATGAATTACGACGACAGAGTACGCTGCAGCGTAAACGAAGGTGTGCGCAACACGGTACGATGCTACCGACAACTATACGCGCGATCGTTTGCGGCCCCTCAACTGCGGTAAAACCAACGTGTTGATAAGCCTGCTGGAAAGTCCGCACGGTGTGCGTTTCGAGAACGTGTACGTGTACTCTAAATCGCTGCAACAGCCGAAATATCGCTATTTGGAAGATTTATTGACGCCGATTGACGAAATCGGCTACTTTACATTCTCCAATAACAGTGACGTCATTCCCCGAGCGAGGCTTATCCAAATTCAATTTTTGTCTTTGATGACGTGGCATGCGACAAGCAAGATACG